TCTACCCAAAGCAATTTACAAATACAATGCAATCCCGATCCAAATACCAACAACATTCTTTAAAGAGATGGAAAAACTAACAATTACCTTTATATGGAAGGGGAATAAGCTCCAAATAAGTAAAGCACTATCGAAGAAGAAGAAGAAAGTAGGAGGACTCACGCCACCTGACCTCAGAACGTACTATACAGCTATGGTAGTCAAAACGGCCTGGGACTGGTACAACGACAGACACATTGACCAGTGGAACAGAATTGAGAATCTGGTTGTAAATCCATCCACCTACGGTCACCTGATCTTTGACAAGGGCCCAAAGTCCATCAAATGGGGAAAAGACAGTCTTTTTAACAAATGTTGCTGGCAAAACTGGATGTCCATCTGCAAAAAAATCAAACAGGACCCATACATCACACCATATACAAAAACTAATTCAAAATGGATCAAAGACCTAAATATAAAGCCAAAACTATAAAGATCACAGAAAAAAAATAGGATCAATGCTAGAGACCCTAATACACGGCATTAACAGGATACAAACCATAACCAACAACACACAAACTCCAGAAGATAAGCTAGATGACTAGGATCTTCTAAAAATCAAACACCTACTCTCTTCAAGAGACTTCACCAAAAGAGTAAAAAGAGAACCTACAGACTGGGAAAGAAATTTTTAGACATGACAAGTCAGACAAAGGTCTAATCTCTATAGTCTACAAGAAAATCCAACACCTCTACAACAAAAAGATAAATAATCCAATTAAAAAATGGGCAAAGGAAATGAACAGACACGTTACCAAAGAAGACGTTCAACTGGCCAACAGACACATGAGTTAATGCTGCGGATCACTAGCCATTAGAGAAATGCAAATTAAAACCACAATGAGATACCATCTCACGCCTGCGTTAGTAGTACGAAGCAAAAACACTGGAAATAACGAATGTTGGAGAGGCTGCGGGGAGATCAGAACGTTTATGCACTGCTGGTGTAAATGCATAATCATACAACCATTTTGGAAAATGCTATGGCGCTTCCTTAGAAAGCTAGAAATAGAAATACCATTCGATCCAGCAATCCCACCCCTAGGAATACATCCTAGAGAAATAAGAGCCATCACATGAATACACATATGCACACCCATGTTCATGGCAGCATTGTTCTCAATAGCAAAAAGATGGAAACAACCTAGATGCCCATCAACAGATGAATGGATAAACAAACTATGGTACATACACACAATGTAGTATTACACAAATATGAATAATAATGATGAATCTGCAAAGCATCTCATGGATGAAACTGGAGGACATTATGCTGACTATAATGAGTCAATCACAAAAGGACAAATATTGTATGAGACCTCTACTGTAAAAACTCATGTAAAAGTTTACACACAAAAAGAAACAATCTTTGTTGGTTACAATGGATGGGAGTGGTGGTGGGGGAAAACTAAATAGACAATAGACAAATGGTAACTTTGGTGAAGGGTAAGACAGTACACAATACTGGGGAAGCCAGTACAACTTGTACAAGGAAAGGTCATGGAAGCCCCATAGACACATCCAAACTCCCTGAGAGACTAAATTGCTGGGTGTAGGGCTGTGGGGACCATGCTCTCGGGGAACATCTAGCTCAATTGGCATAAGACAGTTTATTAGGACAATGTTCTGCATTCTACCTTGGTGAGTAGTGTCCGAGGTCTTAAAAGCCTATGAGCAGCCATCTAAGATACTCCACTGGTCTCACCCCTTTGGGAGCAAGGGATAATGAAGAGAACAAGATACAAGGAAAAGATTAGTCCAAAGGACTAATGGACCACAGCTACCAAGGCCTCCACCAGACTGAGTCCAGTACAGATAGACGGTGCCCCGCTACCACCGACTGCTCTAACCGGGGGACAACAGAGGGTTCTGGACAGACCTGGAGAAGGATGTAGAACAAAATTCTAACACACACAAGAAAGACCAGATTTACTGGCCTGACAGAGATTGGAGAAACCTTGAGAGTATGGCCTCCAGACACCCTTTTAGCTCAGTGGTGAAGTCACTCCCGAGGTTCACTGTTTAGACAGGGATTGGACAGGCCCATAAAACAAAATGGGACAAATTACACATGGCAGTCCAGGGACAAGGACTAGAAGGCAGGAGGGGACAGGAAAGCTGGTGATAGGGAACCCAAGGTTGAGAAAGGACAGTGTCGACGTCATGGGGTTGTTAACCATTGTCATAGGGCAATATGTGTACTGTTTAATGAAAAACTATTCTGTTCTGTAAATCTTCATCTAAAGTACAAAAAAAAAAAAAATTATCTATGTGACAATCACATTGACAATAGCAACTCAAAAGGTTTTATGGGAAGCCCAGGGGGCAGTGAGTTGAAGATAATGGTGATGGAATAATTTGGAAAAGGATAGTGAGAATAGCAGCACAACTGGAAGAATGTAATCGATGTCAGTGAATTGTACATGTAGAAATTTTTGAAATGATTTATCTTTTGCTACATATATTTTCACCAAAAAAGAAAAAAGGTCTTCCAAGGTCAAGAAGGGAGAGTGTTGACACGTTGTGGGTTTGTTAACCAATGTCACAAAACAATATGTGTACTGTGTAATGAGAAACTATTTGTTCTGTAAACCTTCACCTAAAGCAGAATAAAAAAAAAAATTGAAAAAAAGAAAAACGTCATGTATACATGTTCCGCTCTCTGAAGTCACAGTTAATAAAAAAGTGCAACTGGTTTAGTTTGGTTTTTGTCTTAGAAGACAGTAAGCATCAGAACCTTAGACCAGGTCATTATGCAAAAATTGGTGTTATGTGAGTCAGGCCCATGACCCTGGTGTGTCTCATAATGCATGTGGCATGGCGGACCCTCTTCCCCATCATGCCTTCCCCACTACGGGGGAGCCTACAGGGGATTTGGGTGGTCGTGGTTGGGGGTTGCCTGATGCCTCTGAAGCAACAGGGCCCACATTCACCTGGCCACGCTCCAGGCCTCCGCATGGACTCCTGTGCCTTTGTCTTTCCACCTTCCTGCTCCACTGGCCCCAGAGGCTGGCTCCCAGGCCTGTGGGCAGGTGAAGCCTGGCTAGTTGGGCCAGGCTAAGGCTGCAGAGGTGGCAGGGAGACCTCTTTGGAAGAGGCTCTGAGCCCCTCGCCTGACTCCTGTGCCCCCGTCTCTTGCATGCCAGACACTCAGCACGGGCCCAGGCTGGCTCCTCTGCCCGACCTGGGTAATACCAATCACCAGCAGCCTGCATGGCCTCATTCCTCTCACATACTTTGCCTTCCTCCTCCTCCTCTCACATGGGCTCCTCCTTAAAGTGCAAAACAGCAGATTTTTTTACTACTGTCATAATGCAAAACGTCAGAACAAGACAGCCAAAAAATGAGGTGTGGGTGTACCTTACCATTTTTGCTTTAAATATTCAATTATCTTTTTAAAGAAAATTTAAAATAAGAAAAAAACACCTTTTACGTTTGCTCACATATTTACCATTTCTGATGCTCTTCATTCCTTTGCATAGATGCAGATTTCTATTTGATATCATTTTCCTTCTGATCAAAAGCATTCATTAACATTTCCTGTTAATGGTGAAGTCTGCTTGTGTTGAATTCTCTCGGCAGTTCTAGGTCTGCAAGTTATTTCACTTTTGTTGTTTAAAGATATTTTCATTGGGTACAGAATTCTAAGTTTTTTCTTTCAGTGCTTTAAAGATGTTGTACCACTTGTCTGCAAAATTTGTATCACTGTTCCTCTGTCTTTTTTCTCTGGCTGCTTTTAAGAATTTTCCTTTGTTCCTAGTGTTAAGAAATTTTATTATCATCTGCCTTAGTGTTTGTTGGCTTCTTGGATCCCATTTATTTCCTTCTCTCAGTGATTTATGTCCTGTGCCACTTGATGTTCAATATCTGAAAACTAGTTGTCTTTTTTTTTAATTTAAAGTAGAAAGCTAAGTTCAATATCTATTATTTCATCTTGGCCAGAGGTAAAAGTCCAATTTCAAGTCTCCCATTTTACCGTATAAAATTTTATTTTTTGTACTTAATTTAGCTTTTAAATTTCATAACAAAAACGATCCATCTATAAATTTACTAAAGTTGTTTTATTTATCCCATCCCTTTTAGTACATATTATGTGCATTCATAGAAAAAAGACACCAGTAAAATATTAATAGATTTGAATACAGCATGTAGGCAAAACACACTAATATTTATGCCTTCTAAACCTGTTCAATAATGATACATAAGTAAACTTGTTACAAGTCATAATACTTTTATAATCTGCCAGGAAAAGGATTACATTAGCACCCCTTTATGCTTTAATACAAATGCATTCTCTGAGCCAACTGGGAATCTTTAATAATTATTAGTATGTTTAGTTATTAAATATAGCCTTAAAATTTTCCATTACTTTGGAAAACCATAGTTAGTAAGCTAGCTAAATTTTTTTTTTTTTAGTAAATATTTTCAGCTCAGAAGTCAAAACTGGACATGAGCACTGTATACAATGTACATAGCTTAAATCTTTGGGACAAAGAAGGTAAGGAAGCCAGTAGCCCTCCTAATCTTATACCACTGAAACTGCAGGTCACAGCAGGTAGGTGTATACATCCACCCACTGTAAAAGAGATGAAAATTCTTTTGATAATTAACTTTTCAAAATAATTCTATGCTAAGGCCAGTAAATACAAAAATAGTACACATAGCACACAAAGAATAAGAGAATGTTAATGATAGAAACTACAAACCAAACAATCCACACTTCACATTTGGGAGAAAAAATGGCAATACTGTAATATTTAATATCCAATATGAAGTTTTCAATGGTTATAAGATGAATCGTGTTGATTGAAATGTTACAGTATAATTTGCATATTATTAATTTATGAGATAATCAGCAGATATGCAGCTCTGGTTGAGTCTTAAAAGCCCTTAAAGGATTTTCATAGGTAAAGTGAACTTAACAAAAAAATACTCAACTAGGAGTAAAGAGATGTCAGAAATACAATACACTAACATATGTGCAATAGATATAATTCAATCTGTGCGATTAAAAATTCCAAAAATTGTCTTGTCAAATGTACAATAAATAATAGTCATACTTGACTTCATCAGGTTAACAAAACAATTACTCATTGACCCTGTTTTATTAGTCAATTGCTTAGAAACTCCAAGTGCCATTTTAAAATTACTTTCTCCATAAAAATAGAAGACATATCAAACTCTTTAATTTTCATACACCCAAAAAAAATCTGAAAGGCAATTTGTCAATCAAAAATATATCTGTTAAAAAAAAAGGTGATTAGAAAGCATATATAACCAATTTTTTTATGCACACTTTTCTTCTTATGAAAAAGGGCACTTGGTGTATAGCTAAAGCTTTCAGAAAATAAAGATCCTGTTGACTTTCCTATTAGGCAGATGACATATTGTGCACTGGTTCTAATATAAAAATACAAATATTTTTAATAGTCAGAGAAGGTGAAATAGCAATCCGTGTGAAAGCCCATCATCACCCTTCTATATGAAAACAAAATTTTCCAGAAGTCATAAAAACAATGCTGCTTCACGCAGTTTTGTGTTGCCAGAAACATCCCAAATTACAAAATATGAAGGTATCCACTGAAATTTCAGTAGTGAGCACGTAGTCTTTTGTTTTCTTCTCGTAGTCTTTCAATTTCAGCCACTAACCCTTCATTCACTGAATATCTTTCTAGCAAAGAGTGCATCTCATTCTAGAAAAGGGGGAAAAATCTTTGTTAAATTACTGGTATTTATCTGGCAAGCTATGTTCTACATACTTTCAGCTATCATTTATCTCATGTTCAATTAACTAGCTAAGTGTATTTCGTACACTTAACTGCCCTAACAACTTTGTTAATATAAATAAAAAATCATTGGTGAGATTTATATATTTAAAAAAAAAAAAAAAAAGCTGTGAAAAAGCAGCCTTAACTATCAAAGGTTAAAAAGAAGGATGAGCAATTAATATCTATTTTATTTATTATGTTTCCAAGAACTCCCCTATTTACTTAGCTTGGCAACTAGATATAACAACTAAGTAAAAAATGCATTCCCCTTTAATGGATTTATAAGATCCACACAACTCTACACTTATTTAAATTACAATGTCACACATACCAACTGCATATGGAACTGTTTAATCATCTCCACTTGCAAATTCACAATGTCCCGATGGCATGCCTCTCTAGGGAAGAATGTAAAATACTTGTTAGAACTGTAACAGCTTAACTAATTCTAGATCATTTAAGAAACTAGCTAAACATTTTTCATTGTTCCAAATTATTGGATGTAAATAATCACTATACGTAGTAAAAATAACACCTGACATTTATTTTCAAGAAACCCTGATGGCACAGTGGTTAAGAGCTATGGCTGCTAACCAAAAGGTCAGCAGTTTGAATTCACCAGCTGTTCATTGGAAACCCTATGGGGCAGTTCTACTCTGTCCTATAGGGTCGCTATGAACCAGAATCAACTCAGTGGCAACAGGGTTTGTTTGTTTTTTTTTTTTTAAGGCACCGTTTCTGAACATTTTAAATGTAAGAACTCATTTAATCTTCAGTACTAGGTACAATTATTACCTCCATTTCACCAACGAAGTAAATGAGCCACAGATGGTTAAAACTTGTCCAAAGTCACACAGCCAGTAAATGGTGGAACTGGGATATAAACCCAAGCTGTGCACCTCCAGAATCCCCACTACACTAATACTCCCTTATATATAAATTATCATTAAGGAAAGACACAGGCTTATATTACAAGCAGAAACAGATAATTCATTAGGTTACAAAGATCATTTGATTATCTATGTTTTATATATGTATATATTTCCAGTAGAATGAAAATGGGCTATTTGGGTAGTTATAAAATGGCTTAATGAACAAAATGAAATAATCCATGCTTATAAAACCATATATGAAAATTACAAAGTATAACAGTAAAAGGAACACTCACACACAACTTATGAGCTAGAATATTACCAAAACCATTGGTGATTCCATCACAACTCTTATGGGAAGCCCAAGAGGTCACCATTCCCCTAAATTTTGTTTAGCAAAGAAATGTCTTTTTTAAAATACAGTTGTGTAACATATAATCTGTAGTCAATATATTTAGTTGTGCTTGCTTTTGAGCATTACAAAGAGTACCATACCCTATGCAGTCTTTGGCAGCTTACATTTTTTAAAAAATTTCAATTTTACATTTTCAAGATTCATGTTGTTAAAAAAAAAAAATTATCTATGTGAGATCAAATTGACAAAAGCAACTCAAAAGGTTTGATGGGAAGCCTAGGGGACAGTGAGTTGAAGATAATGGTGATGGAATAATTTGGAAAAGCATAGTAAGAATAGCAGCACAGCTGGAAGAATGTAATCGATGTCACTGAATTGTACATGTAGAAACTTTTGAAATGGTGTAACTTTGGCTATGTATATTTTCACCAAAAAAAAAAGGTCCTCGAGTTCAAGAAGAGAGAGTGTTGACACGTCGTGGGGTTCTTAACCAACGTTATAAAACAGTATGTGTACTGACTGTTTAATAAGAAACTATTTGTCTGTAAACCTTCATCTAAAGTACAATTAAAAAAAAAAAAAAAAAGATTCATGTTGTATTTGTAATGCACTGATTTACACAGCTGAAGGTGCACCTGACCCAAGCCATGGTGTTTTCAACCACGTCGTATGCATGCAAAAGCTGGACCATGAATTAGGAACATCGAAGAAGAATTGATGTCTTTGAACAATGGTGTTGGCGAAGAATATTGAATATACCATGGATTACCAGAAGAACGAACAAATCTGTCTTGGAAGAAGTACAGCCAGAATGCTCCTTAGAAGCAAGGATGGCGAGGCTTCACCTCAGGTACTTTGGTACATGTTACCAGGAAGGATCATTCCCTGGAGAAGGACATCATGCTTGGTGAAGTTTATGGTCAGTGAAAGAGAGGAAAACCCTCAACGAGATGGATTAACACAGCAGCTACAACAATGGGCTCAAGCATAGCAATGATTGTGAGGATGGCTTAGGACCCAGTAGTGTTTTGTTATGTTGTACATAGGGTCGTTATGAGTCAGAACCAACTAAACAGAACCTACAACAACATCACCCATCCATTCTCCTGTCAATTGACATCAGGATTGTTTCAAATTTTATTACTACAGTGTTGTTATAAACAGTCTTGTATATATCTCCCAATGCACATTTGTTGACTTAGGTGATATATCCAGGAGTATGCTGGAAAGAAGATGAGCCAGGTATATGCTTGTTCAGTTTTACACAACAATGTAAATTGTTTTCCAAAGTGGTAGTATCAATGGACATGCCCATCATCAGTATAACAGAGTTCCTCTTGCTATACATCCTCACCAAGACTTGTACTGACTTTTTACAATTTTTTCCCGTCTAATGGGTGTGATATGGCATCTCATTGCATTTTCAGTTGTGATTAATTATGAGGTTGAGCATCTTTTCTTCTACTCATACATCATTCCCCTTCTGTGAAATGCCTATTCATGTCTTTTAACTATTTTTATACTTTTTCTTATTCATTTATAAGACTTCTTTATATACTCTAATCCTTTCTTGATTACGAGTATTACAGATAATTGCTTGTCCTTTCACCTTGTTAATGGTGTTTTGTGACGAGCAGTTCTTATTAATGTGCTCAAATTTACTAACCTAATAATGCAGTCAAATTTATCGTTTTTTTAGTTAGTATTTTATGTTTAAAAACTTCCATATCCTGAAGTCATAAATATATTCTCGTATGTCTAAATCTTACTACATTTAAGCTTTTACTCTATATAGATGGAACTGATTTTTTTAATAGCATGGAATAGAGATTTTTTTTACATGGATAACCAAATGTACAGCACATTTATTTGATCATTATTTATTGATTATGCCATCTTTTGCACACAGATCTGCAATGTTACTTCTCTGATATATCAAGTTTCCATATATGCATAATTTCTTTATGGGCTATTTGATTCCTTTGGTCAATTTGCCCACCCTGTATCAATGTAACACTATCTTAATTATACCTTAATAATTAAGTTTATCCATCTGACAGACAACCTTATTCTTCTCTGGAGTGTTTCAGTTATTCATGGATCTTTTTTCTTCTATATACATTTTGAAATCATCACATCATGTTCTTCCAAAAAATCCTGTTGGGATTTTGACTAGAATTACATTCAATCTACAGATCAATTTGGAACTGACATCTTTATGATATCCTTCCACTTATTTAAGTGTTAATGTCTTTTAATAAATTTTAAAAAAATGTTTTTATTAAAGATGTTCACTATCTTTGGTTACATCTATTCCTAAGTATCTTATTTTTTCGGTTGCAATTATAAACGTATTTTTTAAAATTATTTTTTCTCTTCTCTTTTCAGTCATGGTAAAAGTTCTATTTGAAAAAAAAAAAGCCATTTGAAAGCATCAGAGAACCATCAAAGTAGCCAGGGCTTAGAAGCCATGGTCTTATCAAGAACGGAAGTCTACCGAGGTTAAGTCCCATGTTCGCCTCTGCTTTTTCTCCTGGGAGATACGCAGATTTCACAGTGTGGGGAAAAAAGGCTGAGGTGAAGGCAGTAGCCTGCGGCTGTGACGATCTCACTAGGCAGGTTCAATGTTAAGATCCTGAAGAGGAAAGTTAGCAACAAACTGTGCAATTTCCCCAAGAGACATTTATTAACTCCTAAGCAATACCTCAGGCACGTAACAACAACAATAAAGCAATGCCTGCGCTGAGTTAGACTGCAGCAAACCAAACATAAAAGTAGCAGCTAAAGGGCAGAGGGTCACTATAAGTCAGAATCAACTTGACGTCTACGGGTTTGAATTTTTTTTTTTGGTAAAGAGCAGAGAAGGTATTTTGGCAGCCTTATAGGTGCTGGTGAAACAGAGGTTAAAGTTCAGGATCCACCAAAGTAAAAAGGCCTAGTGAATACTTCACGCATTCAGCTGATACTCCAGAAGAGCTAGGACTAAACCACAGGAATAAAGACAAACTGGAAAGAAAAAAACAAACTAGCCCTAACAAAGCCTGAAACCCAGCAATTACAGGATCAAGATTTGCTTGCCGGAAGAAACTTAAATCTTCTCTGAACGACAACAGAAACAAAGTCATAGACTTCAGCTTAGGATATAATCTCTCCAATCCTAATAATGAGAAAAAGCCAGATAAAATCACAGGGTTTTAAATTTCATCAGAGAGCTGAGAGTGCGAAGAAACCCAAGTGAACTAAAATCCATAAAATGACGAGCCCCTGCTGGGAGAAGAGACACCCATGGGTGCTTTGATCCTTAACAGAGCAGTGGGAGGAGAAAGCTGACACTGATACGCTAAGGAGAAACTAGCTGAAATTACTACAGATTTTTAAAGGGCAAGTGAAGACTGTCATGGAAGCTTAGAATCCCAAAGAGTCCTAGCCACAAAGAGTCTGCATTCACCCATTGACTTTTCCCCACAGAGCTTTCACTGAATGGTTATGTGGAAAATCAGGAGAGCTGAGAAAGACCCCTTAAGGAGTAGATGCATAAAGCCCGGTGAAGGCTCAGGGCAGGAGAGAAGCGAGGTTAATCCACCCCAGGCCCTCATGGAGAAGGAGGCAACCACCCTCTTTGGCTGAGAAAGCCCCTTCACAGCCCCTCAGCTTCCCCCCTCTTAAGACACAGCTGTGCAGGCCTCCTAAAGGCAGAGTGCCGGCAGGTGAACTTAAACAGAAATCCTCTGAGCCGCTACGGGCCCTACTGAGTCCACAGCAGAGGCTGCCTATGGTTGAGGGAGGAGCAGAAGAGCTGAGGCCCCCATCCCATGAGGCACAGGCATGCCGGGCAGGCTGAAGACTGAGGGCAGGGCAGAAGAAAAAAGACAAACTCCCCAGAGGCACTGCAGGCCTTCACTACACATACTGCTATAACCCTCCAGGGCGGGAGAGGGGTGAGACCCCTCTCCTGAGGCATGCAAAGCCAGCAGCCAAACTAGAGAGCAAAAGGTATGTACACACTCTCCAGCAACCCAAAATGCTGGCATCTGGGCTGGAAAGCACATAAAGATTCCAGAGTCTCCCTGACACTCAGATTCCAACTCTTGCTGCAGGGAAGGTTCTCATCCTGCTGTCCTCAGATTATCTGAAGCCAGTGCTGAACTGATGCTCACATGCTTGTTGAACAAATGAATAAACAGTTCTCACCGCGTCATTTCTGTGCTTTGATGTCTCTCTACTACATATGTGTTAAGGCCTTCATAACTACCTTTCTGGCCTCATCTCTTGCCACGGTTCCTTCTCTCTGCAGCCACCCCCAAAACTTACAATCTGCTCATGCTGTTCCCGCACTTTCAGTGTAAAATAAAATTTCTTCTGTGACAGCTTTCTAAATCTGTGCCAGCAGACAAAATGCTTCCTTTCTGTATTTCCAACATCACTCTGTTCAAGCTGTATCATAATCAGTTGTATCCAGACATTTCTGTTATTCTGCCATATATACACATGCATTCCTGAAAAACCTCATAGTTTTAAAAATCGTGTATTGAAAATAACAGGACTTAGGAGAAAATAAGTTGGGGCAGACCACTCAAAATTTATACAACTTTGTATACAGAGCGCTAATGAATACAATTAAATCCTAATAAAAATACCAGCACGGTTACAGACATGGTAAAAGTCTAGCAAATAAATACTGAATAATTTAAGACTTCAACCTTAAAAAAAGTGATGGTGACTTCATGAAGGGGGATAGAAGACAGAAGGAAAGATTGGATCTCTCAAATTATGGAGGTAAGGGCAAAATGCCCAAAGTTACAAAGTACTTCTAACAGAGCACACAGACAAACCAAGTTAAGAGAAAATGAATAGGGAGAGATGGATACTGATACGTAGCTGGCTGCATTTAGCCATGTTACTGTACTTTGTTTTGGCTGCTGTTACATGAACCAACAAAACTTCCTCATCATCATGTCATCACTGCCCTTGTTATACCAGTCACAAATAAGTTCATTCACATTAGAGAAACACATACTATAGCACAACAGACTGTACTTATCCCAATGAAACTGTAAGGCTTTTGTGGGCAGATCATTCATTTTTGTATCCTCAGCACCTGGTACGTACACTAGGTATACTGTACATGTCAAAATGATGATTTAAAAAAAATATTTTTAGCATTTTAAGATGTATTTTAAAACACTTTTAACATTTAAAAAAAGTGCACCAAGAAAAACTGCACATATTCTCCAACAATCCTGATCATGATTATTCGAATCTGAACTAGAATATTAAGTGACTACAGGTTAGAAAAAGGAGCCCTGGTGGTGCAGTGGTTAAAGTGCTCGGCTGCTAACCGAAAGGTGGCGGTTTGAACCCACTAGCTGATCTCTGGGAGAAAAATGTGGCAGCTGCTTTGGTAAAGATTTATAGCCTTGGAAACCCTGTTGGGTGGCTAATGAGTCAGAAGTAACTCGACGGCAGTGGGATTGGTTTTTTGTTTATAGGTTAGAAAGGAAAAAACACAAAAGATTATAATACTGGAAAAAAGCTTCAAAATTTATTGAGCTGATTAGTAAAAGGAAGCAGCATTCTGGAAGAACATATTCATATAGTGTTCAAAATTCAAAAAACGAGAAACACAAGGATAGATCCAGGCAAGAAGTCTTTTAAATTAAGACTTATGTGCCAGTGTATTTTATCTGCAAATATTCAGCATTTCTTCTTAAAATATGTTACATTTTATATTATATATAGCATACCAAAGAGCCCTGGTGGTCCTGTTGGGTTTGGTTTATGAGATCTATAGAATACCAAAAAAAACAAAACTCATTGCCATTGAGTTGATTCCAACTCATAGTGACCCTATAGGAACAGCAGAACTGCCCCATAGGGTTTCCAAGGAGCAGCTGGTGGATTCCAACTGCTAGCCTTTTGGTTAGCAGTCGAGCTCTTAAACACTGTGCCACCAGGGCTCTTTGGTATGCTATATATAATACATAATGCAACATATTTTAAGAAGGAATTAATAGATAATCTGTAAGTATTCTACTTAAGAACCCCATTTGAGAGTTCCAGAATCTGTCCATGTCCTGATAATCAAAAAATCCACAACAGCAGCCTACCTGCTGGACTGCCCCTGCCAAGTTACCTAATAATTACCCCAGGTGAATGTGCTTTTTCCTGACTCATAAGCAATAAACACAGTACATCATGAGCAACAAAATGCTTCAGGTTTTCTAGGGTTTTACAGACACTAGAACATAGGCAAAAGCAGTAACCACCAAACATTACTTATAGTTCTGATTTTACGTCTATTAAAAAAAAAAAAAACCCGTTAAGGTCTAGATAGAAAGACTACCTGAAATCATCCAGGGTTTCCTGTATCATGTTCTGAATAAAATGGATTTGAACAGATGTCAATGGTGCATTTGGCCGATTATTTCCAATGGTATCAGCTATTTTTCCTGACAGTGAACTGGCAACTCCAGCAGTGACAGAGGATGCTATGTTTGGATCTGAAACAAAGAATGGAGAAAATATTAATAGTCAACTTGGAATAAGAGACATCAAACATTGCTAAATAAGATTTGGCATGAGAACACTTAGAAAACTGGCAAACAACAGTGTTTCTGTGACATTTAGAAAAATTCACTGTCTGGAATACAAATCTTAGAAACTTTCTATGATATTATTTCTAATAGTCATTTATCTATACATATAAACTGTCAACTGTCTAATGCAATAATATATGACAGAGGGATTAATCTTGAAGAAGCTCTGAACCATTTCCTCTTATAAAAGATGAATGTGACAAGCTGCAGCACAAACTAGATATACCAAGACTATTAAAAACAAAATGGAAGGAATCCAGGAGTAAAGTACTGCTACAGGCAAAGAGCTAGAGTTTAAATGATTGCAGTATACCCACAGAAGCCTTAAAGAGATATCTATAGAAAACAGTTGCTTCTATACAAAGAGTTGCTTTGTATACATAATTCTTATAGCTGAACCTAAAATCCCTTTAAATGTGATCAAGTTTTTATGGGTCTATGGCATAAACTCTAAAGGTATAACTTTAATGTAGGGGAGAAACTTAAAATGAAGTATTTGTTAGTTAAAACCAAAACCAAACCCACTGCCTTCGAGTCGATTCCCAACTCATAGCGACCCTACAGAACAGAGGAGAATTGCCCCACAGGGTTTCCAAGGCTGTTAACTTTATGGAAGCAGATTGCCACATCTTTCTCCCTCAAAACAGCTGGTGGGCTCAAACCACTGACCTTTTAGTTAGCAGCCAAGCACTTAACTACTGTGCCACCAGGGCTCCTTACTTCATAGTTAACTACCCCTACTTAAAGGGTATTACATTATAATTCTATCCATACCATATTAGATCAAGACTGGGGAGTATCAGGTAGTGATGAAATTCACACAGAAAGAGTATTAAAACAATGTGGCTGAATTTAACTACTCATATTTATTTCCTTGTCTTCTAGGAAGAGAGTCACACTAGAGAAGTGTCCATAAACTTCAAACATTTTCAGTCTATGATTATTCCATTTATTTATCCATTTCAAGTTCAATAATCGTAGAACTTTTCAACATAACACTTTCAAATGTCAGGAAGTTTTATGTACTTACTTGGGGTAGAGGATCCATTGATAGGGGGTTCATATATCAATTGGGTTTCTATTTCCTTCTCTAGCTTTTCAAATTTCTCAGGACTTCTTGCTTGGTTAGATGATGGAGAGGTATTTAAATTTCCAGATTCAGCACCGGAGGAGATCAACTTTGCAAACTTTACATTTAAAATAAACAATCACTTTAATATATAATTTCTGGCTTTTCCCATGTTAATTTGTAACTACATCCCCCCTCCCCCTCCCTAGTAGGGCCAAGGGAGAAAAGGAAGAAACGAAGCGATACAGAAGAAGAAAAAAACTCTAATGGCAAAATAAATCGTTTACTAATGAAAAATAATCTTGATGATAATATAAGGAAAAGCTCATTTTCTAAGCATCTGCTATTGAATATCATTTAAAACAGAAATCACTGGCAGAAAAAAATCCCCACTCATGGAAACTAGTCTGAAATATTTGGAAAATAAATATCAAAAAACATTTTTGTACTTCTTGAATATCTTTTCAATATGATTCTAAAAACTAAATACGAAAAAAAAAAAAAAAACCATACTACATACCTAACAGATTTGTCTGTTACTACAGAGCCCTTCCTGGTAATATTTGATCATTTTGAGCCCTTACAAAAGAAATCAAATTCTATATTGGATAACGGTATTATATCAGACGGTAGTGATGACGAATTCCATTCTTAGTGCTATCAATTTGATATCAGACCTAGTGCAAATGACTTAACTACCAATTTGGTGCTTTATGCTGAATGGGAAATACATTCTAAAAGAATTCAGGTGTTCCTGCATAGACAAATAAATCAAGAATCTTGTTTTAGAAAAATATATATACATATATATGTTTACATCTGCTGTTACCTTCAACATACCCAATGGTAAACTTCAGAAGTATCCTTTAGCCATTAATAAGTTACACATCATGATTTAAAAGTATTTGTCTACCTAGTGAGGAGCCTTGGTGGCAAAGTGGTTAACGGCTTGGCTGCTAACCAGATCAACGGTTCGAGCCCACCAGCTCTGTGGGAGGAAGATGTGGCAGTCTGCTTCTGTAAACATTACAGCCTTGGAAACCCTGTGGGGCAGTTGTACTCTGTCCTACAGGGCTGCTATGAGTCAGAATCGACTTAACAGCAGTGGGTTTTTGGTTTTTGTCTACCTAGTGAGTAGACAGCGCTGTAAATAATCAGGACACATCTACTGCCAGCTATACTCTCTAGTGATGAGCTCCATCATACCTGCTAGTTGCACAAGATTTCAGTGCCATTGTCAGTCAGATACCTGTTTGCAGGAGTCTTTAGGTTCTTGTTTTCCTAGATACATTTTCTTAGACTCAGCTGTCAGATCATGATTTTCATTTTCTTCCTTCCCTGGAGATCCCATAAAGACATTAAGAGGACTAGAATGTAATACAGCAGTGCCTGAAGTGACTGGATTTTTTCTTGGAGGAAAAACTGAGTTCAACTGTGGTAGAAAATCGAGCCCTAAAAAAAGAGGAGAAAAAAATTGCATTTGCACATGATGTCCCTCAACCTTGAATATTTAAGAAAAGCATGTAATAATTAGGCACATTAATATGGCAGAAAAACATGGGATTTGGATTCAGAAGGCTGGTTCATTTCCCTGCCCTTACCCCTTAGTTGATGTGTACTCTTTAGCAAAAATCATAAAACTTTCCTATCTGTAAATGTGAATGATGACAACCATCTCCCAGATTGGTCAGGCTTAAATGAGATGTTGTATATGAAAATACTTCAAAAACAATAAACAAAATGAATGTTTTAGGTTTTGATAAATGAAAATTGTTAACTTAGTATATAACGGTGGAATATATCTTTGTAGGCAGTCTCTCAGATGGCTCCTAATGACCCTTGCCTTCTGCTTTCCACGCCCCTGTGTAATCCCCTCCTTTTGAATATGGGTTGGACCTAGTACCTTGCTTCTAACAGAGGTGATAGGATGTCACTTCCAAGATTAGGATACAAAAATACTGTGCCTTCCATCTTGGTGCCCTCTTTCATTCTCTTGCTGACTTCCCCTAAGGGGAGCCAGTTACCCTATGAAGAGGTCCATGTGGCAAGGAAGTGAAACTTCCAGCCAACGGCCATATGAATGAGCTAGTAATCGGATCCTTGCTCAGCTCTGAGATATCAGCAGCTCTGGTTGCCACCCCTACTGAAGCACTGAGAGAGACCTGAAGGCACAGGTACCCAATTAAGTCGTGCCTGGATTCCTAATCCACAAAAATTATGTGGTAATACACTGATTGTTGTTTTAAGCCTTGAAGTGTTGGGGTAATGTTTTACACAGCAACAGATAACTTGATATCCCTTATAATTTTCATAAAAATACCTCTCAGTAGTTCTTACCATCTCCTTTGACTATGGGATCTTCGCCTCCCTTGTTAACTACAGCATCTAAAATACAATTAAAAAATCGTATTTTAAAAATGGTGAGAAAGAAGCCATAGTAGCTTACATTTCCTATTCATTACCCAAAGGGTTCAGAGACTAAAGATTTTAATAAGAATGAAAGTATGAGTGAGATTAAAGCTAAACTTCCCCCTTTCATTCTTTTAGCTTCACACATAGCAGTAAATATGAAAAAAAAAATTCTACAGTAACATTCATTTAATGAAGCAGCAAGGCACAGGAAAAAAAGCCCTAGAATAGGCTCGGCAGACCTGTAATCTAGTTTTCTATACCACTTAATAGCTTTGTGATTTTGGACAAGTCTTTAAAGCAATTAAGCTTTAGTTTCTGTATCTATAAAAAAGGGATAAGGACCTGACCATCTCATGAGTTTGTTTTGAGGATCAATTGAAATAATGTAAAAATATTTTATAAGTAGTACATTCTTATAAAAAAAGTAAGATTTTATTAATATTTATTTCAATGGTAGAATATGTATAAGAATGTTTCGATACCACAGTATTATTCAAGTAGCAATTAACACGAAAAATTATTTAACTAAACCTTAACAGATTAACAGAAAAATGGACAAAAGTCATCAATAAAAAATTCACCAGAAAGTCTAGTGCTCAATAAACATATAAGATTATCATATTAATATGACTATCACATAGCTATCTATCTACATGTATGTGTGCATGTATATAGACAAATACACTTTTAGAAGTTATTTATCCTCTTGACAAAAGCTGTGGTATTCTTATTTAAAAAATGAAGAAATTGAGGCACAAGATTCAGCCTTTTACCTTCATAAATTTGCATTCTTGAGATTAAAAGACAAATCTATTTACAATGAAAACCAGTACTATATATTAGTATCTGTTTTTTCTTATTAATAATATGAGATACTAATGAGTGCAGAGGCATACGGCTCAAATTCTGATCACATTTTTAAATACAGCAAAAGTAATTAAAAAAGGAATTTCTATCCTTTATTCACTTCCCTTCAACACCATTAAAGAAGATTTAATTTATAAACCAAACACTTCTAAAAAGCCCTTTAGTACATTCTTCAATTCACCATGTGCTCCAGGGGGTCTCACAGACCAAAGCTCCCAAACTCAGTACTAACCTTGAAATCTTTCTCAACACCAGCCCAAGCCACTTATCTCTCTTTCACCCACAAACTCTCTGTCTTTACTCTTTAATTATGTAGTTTCACCTCTTCATTCTGAGAGAAAAAAATCCTTCTTCCATTAGATGGAAGAAGGGGACATTTAACCTGGCAATTAAGTAGTCATTTTCAGGGCAGAGTAAGGCAGAATCATTAATCCTTCAATAATCATTCTGTACCATCACATGTGTATTTATTATTTCTGATTATGAAAGTAATTGCAGAAAACTTGGAAAACAGACAATTTTAAGTAAAAAATGACACTGTAAAAGATCATGAATGGATATAACAACTTAAACATCCTGCTAATGTTGGCATTTAGATTCTATCTAGTCTTTTATTATTCTAAGTTAAAACAGCAATTAATGCACAAATCTCTGCGGGCTTCTCCAATTATTTTCTTAAGGTAAATTTGTAGAAACAGAATCAACAGGCCAAAAAGCATGAATATATTATCTTTGTCAAGTTACCCTCTAGAAATGTATCCCATATTGTTGGTAATAATGCTATTAACAGTGAGACTATCCCACTAAGGAAAACAGTATGAACAGTAAGTACCAAAAAAAAACAGCCCAACAACGTATCTAGTTCATGTAGCATGAATAATGATATATACTGTTTCTATTTATCAAACTAGCAGAGGTATTTACCCCCTAAAGGCAATAGTTACCGGCAATGACAATTAAAAAAAAAAAAAAAAATGAGTTAGTGTAAAAACTGAGACATTCTATCACTTAGTCATACTTCTCCATGAAAACATTTAATAAATACTAATTACACGCTAATAACCAAAGAAACAATTTTTTTAAATACGAATATTTTTTCTTTTTGCCTATCAAAACACTTAAGATTTTAAGATTTATTTAGAAGTAAATATAAGTAAAAGATTACCTACGGAGGTAAAACTTCCTTTAAGAAACTTTTGTGGAAATTAAAATACTAACTTGAGAGCTATCTGCATAGTTCCTATGTGAAAATCACCAGTATATATTTTGGAATAACATCTGAAATATCTAAGTGACATAACTCTGCACTCAGGGCAAAGGAAGAGATACTACCTCAGGGATTGACACAACAAAGAAACTGTCATGAATTGTGCTACAGTGGAGCTATTACCCGTATCTTTTAGCCAGAATAAAAAAGTAACGACTACCAGCAACAGAACATAAGCCTCCAATCTGAACAGACTTACCATCTCTAATAGGTGAGAACATGTCACCTAAACTACTTTTCCCAGTATCATCAAAGCTGGAGAAATCTTGATTTTTTCCACTGTCTGTTTCCTTAGATAAAGTATCTGTGTTTATGTTTCGAGGCAAACCTTATAGGAATTAGACATGAAAAATGAGTGTTATTATATCTAAATGAATTTTATCATCAGAAGCTAGGATCTAAAAATAAATGCAAGCATTACCCATATGGTTAGGAATGTTAACCATGAACACTCAGGAAAAGAAGCAGAATATAACAATACCTCATTTAACAAGCATTTTTACATACTGACCACCAATTGCCACTGAGTTGATTCCAACTCGTGGTAACCCCATATGTATCCAGGTAGAACTGTGCTCTATAGGGTTTTCGATGGCTGATTGTTAACAGGCCTTTCTTTCGAGGCACCACAGGGTAGATTTGAACCTGCAACCTTTCCGTTAGTAGCTGAGCATGTTCAATGTTTGTACTGCTCAGAAGCTCTTTCATGGAATGAAGAGTTTCTCAAGTAACTTGTTCTTACAGCAATACCTTATTTTAGCCATTTTAATGGAAGTTTTCTACATTTTATACAGTTTGCTGCCCTCTTAAAGTATACAGAATACGACTTACTTTTGTTACTGAGCGGTTCACCCTGTGATCATCCACAAACGATTAAAAAAAAAAGTCATAGCATATATGACTTTTTAAGCATATACCACAATGCTTAATATATGTTGTAGTTGTTGTCAAGGTGCCATCAAGTCAGCTCCAACTCATAGCGACTCCATGCACAACAGAATGAAAGAAACACTGCCGGATCCTTCACCATCCTCAAAATCCTTGTTATGTTTAAGCCCACCCAGTATTCTCTGCTTTCAGCCAGGATCCATCTCACATCAGCAATGATATCCCTTGTTCCAAATCCTCTTCTGAATCCGGCTTGGATTTCTGGCAGTTCCCTGTCGACATACTGCTGCAACTGCTTTTGAATGATCTTCAGCAAAATTTTACTTGCGTGTGATACTAACGATACCGTTCGATAATTTCTGAATTTAGTTGGATCACCTTTCTTTGAAATAGGCATAAATATGGATCTCTTCCAGTCGGTTGGCCAGGTAGCTGTCTTCCAAATTTCTTGGCAGAGACGAGTGAGCACTTCCAGTGCTGCATCCATTTGCTGAAACATCTCAATCGGTATTCCATCAATTCCTGGAGCCTTGTTTTTCACCAATGTCTTCAGTACAGCTTGGACTTCTTCCTTCAGTACCATCAGTTCCTGATCATATGCTACCTCTTGAAATGGCTGAACATCAATCAATTCTTTTTGGTACCATGACGCTATGTATGTATTCCTTTCATCTTCTTTTGATACTTCTGCATCATTTAGTATGTTCCCCGTAGAATCCTTCAATATGGCAACTAGAGGCTTGAATTCTTTCTTCAGTTCTTTCAGCTTGAGAAATGCAGAGTGCGTTCTTCCTTTTTGGTTTTCTATCTCCAGGTCTTTGCACGTGTCACTATAATCTTTACTTTGTCTTATCAAAAAGCCGCCCTTTGAAATCGTCTGTTCAGTTCTTTTACTCGATCATTTCTTCCTTTTGCTTTAGCTACTCGATGTTCAAGAGCAAGTTTCACAGTCTTTCTGACATCCATTTTGGTCTTTTCTTTCTTTTCTGTCTCTTTAATGACCTCTTGCTTTCTTCATGTATGATGTCCTTGATGTCATTCCACAACTCATCTGGTCGTCGGTCATTAGTGTTCAAAGCATCAAATCTATTTTTGAGATGGTCTCTAAATTCAGGTGGGATATACTCAAGGTCATACTTTGGCTCTCATGGACTTGTTCAAATTTTCTTCAGTTTCAACTTGAACTTGCATATGTGCATTGATGCTCTGTTCCGCAGTCGGTCCCTGGCCTTGTTCTGACTGATATTGAGCTTTTCTATCATCTCTTTCCACAGATGTAGTCAATTTGATTCCTGTGTATTCCATCCAATGAGGTCCATGTGTATAGTTGCCGTTTATGTTGGTGAAAAAAGGTATTTGCAATGAAGGAGTCACTGGTCTTGCAAAATTGTATCATGCGATCTCCAGCATTGTTTCTATCACCAAGGCCATATTTTCCAATTATCGATCCTCCTTCTTGTTTCCAACTATTGCATTCCAATCTCCAGTAATTATCAATGCATCCTGACTGTTATGTTCAATCAATTTCAGACTGAAGAAGTTGATAAAAATCTTCAATTTCTTCATCTTTGGCCTTAGTAGTTGGTGCATAAATTTGAATAACAGTCTTATTAACTGGTCTTCCTTGTAGGCATATCGATATTATCCTATCACTGACAGCGTTGTACTTCAAGATAGATCTTGAAATGTTCTTTTTGACGATGAATGCAACAGCATTCTTCATGTTGTCATTCCTCGCATAGTAGACCATATGACTGTCCAATTCAAAATGGCCAATACCAGTCCATTTCAGCTCACTAATGCCTAGGATATCGATGTTTATGTGTTTCATTTCATTTTTGACAACTTCCAATTTTCCTAGATTCATACTTCGTAAATTCTGTGTTTTAATTAATAGATGTTTGCAGTTGTTTCTTCTCATTTTGAGTTGTGCCACATCAGCATCTGAAGGTCCTGAAAGCTTGACTCCATCCACGTCATTACGGTCAACTCTCCTTTGAGGAGGCAGCTCTTCTCCAGTCATATTTTGAGTGCCTTCCAACCTGAGAGGCTCATCTTCCAGCACTATATCAGACAATGTTCTGCTGCTATTCATAAGGTTTTCCCTGGCTAATTCTTTTCAGTAGACTGTTGGGTCCTTCCTCCTAGTCTGTCTTAGTCTGGAAGCTCAGCTGAAACCTGTTCTCCATGACTTACCCTGCTGGTATTGAATATCAGTGGCATAGCTTCCAGCATCACAGCAACACGCAAGCCCCCCCAGTAAGACAAACTGACAGATGCATCGAATCAATAAACATTTGTTCCCTTCCCCAACTTCTCCTTGTCTTTTTCCTTCACTAACAGTGGGAGCTTAACATTGCCCTCAGCATCATCAACCTCAAACAGCTACACTAGCCTCTCTCTAGTTTACTAAGAGGAAGAAAACCAGAATACCAAGCTCATAAAGAAAAGTATAGTAGACAACAATTAAGAGGCACGCAGCAGTTTATTTTCTCTGATGGTATATAAGGTGTGGCTTTAGGCCAGGGACCTTGTAAGAGGAACTCTGCAGGCTTAGTAGCTTCTTGTTCATTTTGGTTAGGGTCTGGGTTCTACAGATTCAAGAGATTTTATGAAAGTTTGGCATCATGGATTAGAGCATGTTATGTATTATGTTTTAAAAAGTGTTTTATTCAGCATCTTAGTCCCAAATGAAAACTGAAAAGCCTGGGAAGAAAACAAAGAACAGTTTTTACATCTAAAAATGTGCAAGCCTGGCTAATGAAATAAACTTTTCTACTAATACCCGAAATTAAACTATGACTGAAGCATTTGTGCATCACCATCATTAAAGTGTATTTACACCATAAGTTAAGTTGTTACAAATAAAGAAATTTCCTCTCCTTTCACCTGGAGCTCAGGAGTCCTTTGTATTATTCTTACAACTTTTCTGTAAATTTGCAATTATTTCAAAATAAAATTAATAAACAAAAATTTTTAACTGTTGTAGGGGCAGAACAAGCACTCATTTTGCCAGAAATTTTGCTAATCAGCCAAGAGTTATCATTAATCAGTGACCCTGCAGACCCGTCTTTCAGTTCCTAATTAATGCTGTCATTGTTAAACATGAGCCTCCTTAGGAAAAAAATAATAATAAATGAACAACAGTAAAGTTTCAAAAAGCTTACATTAAATGAGAAAAATCTTTACTTTGTTTAATTTTTGAAAAGTTATTAATAAAATAATTTTTGAAAGTGGCGATTTTCATAATACAGCTAATCCAACATCCTGGCAAACATTACTCAGTTATATTTCAAAAAGAATTTATTTTAAATAGCAATGATATTTGTTTCTAAGAGTTCTTAAGTAAGGACCCAATTATCTTTCCATATAATACGCAATGACTGGTAAGTAAGGATGATAAGAGATATACATGGGAAATTTAAAGGAAATTATCACGGGCTCCATGAAATTGTAGAATATTAGAATTGTTGTTGCTAGTTACTATTTCATACTATCAATGCCAAGAAATTAAAGTTCTGCTTCTACTTAGAAACAGTAAACTCATACTGAAAAAGCATTTTTGTCTAAGAGACTTGTCCTGAAAGTTAAAAAAGACACAGATACATACATATCTAATGAGCAGAACATTTTGGAAACATACTGGTATACCACGTAAGCTTTTAAAAATATCTGTTGCAAGTTGACAGTACAGCATAACTTTTTAAAATAAAAACAAAAAGATTTTCAGAAATTGACAGAATATGATCTTTAATGTGGGCAAAGAGTATTTTCTACACTAAGTATGGGGAAGCTTATTGTATTTCACTTTCACAAAGTCTAAATGAATTCTTCATAACTGTTTCATCAATATGATTATCAGAATAGAAGAAATCTTAAAAAATTGAAACTTAAATTTGTCTTTACTTAACAAACTACTAACAGACTGCTTACTATGTGCCAGGCACTATTGGGTGCTTAAAAATATTCATTTACTCATTTGGCTTATTTTCCATTCTGAAATATGAAATAAAAGGAGTCATTAATAGCTTTTTTTTGTTTTAACTTGGAGATCAAATTATAATGCCAGCATCAAATCTTCATATTCTTTGATAGTCTGAAGACTCAGTGGGAAGTCATTCCAGTCTGTGGCAATATTAAGAATTTCTGTGTTGGCATTTTTCGCTTTTAATAAAGAAAATCAGTATTTATCACAACAGAAGTTGAGCTAAACAGAATAAGTGAAGTGCCTTTCATTAACTTTTTTTTTTTTTTTAACTTTATACCTAAAGTTAAAATTTTAACTCGGTCTATGATATCTACTAATAATTTTGCCTTAAATACTCATGTAAATTTGAGTTGTAGGTTCTTGAAGAAAAAGTGCTAACTATATAGATTTGGGAGAAAAAAAAAAAACTAAATCTCATAGATATGCAACATTTACCTGCTTTGTCTTGAACCGCAACTGTTCCTTTCCCCACAACTGTTGTCATGGGCTGCGGAAGAACTGTGGCAACAGAAGTGGTGGTTGCTTCTCTGACAATTCCAGAATTCTGAACTCCTCCACTGGTACTACTCACATTAACAGTTCGTTTGTTCACTGCCATGGACTTATTTGAACAGCCTTTATTTAAACTTGACTGAAATGTAATGGAATATTGAAAAGCTCAGGTTACTGATGTCCCATACTATATATTAATATTTTATAAATTCCCTATTAGATTAAAAAATACATATTGTTTCCCTTATAAATCTTAAACTTGCCGATGGATCTGAGAGTTTCTCTCTAAACCAAAAAAAAATCTTTTAAAGTATTTAAGAGAGAAACAGGAGAATTAAATGTAATAGTTTTAAAACTAAGGATTAATATGACTTCACATCAAAATTATTTAAAATACTCACATAAAAATAATTATGAAACAAAACCAAAATGTGTTCAATGAACAATACATAACTTACATATCCAAAGGCTACATTTCTCTAATAAAATCAAAAATGCCAAAAATATAACTCACCTTAGAAAGAACAACAGAGTACTGAAATGCTATACATTGCACAGATGTCTTGTGAGCACTGATGGTTTTTACTGGTGATTTCAACATCCTTAAGTCATACTGATATATTTTCCCACGGGAAGATCCAATAGCCAAAGTGGCTCCATCAGGCATGAAATCTACCGCAGTCAGAGGGGCATCGGCCACTAAAGTTTTCACTAGCCTTTGGAAAAGAGAACACAGTATATGTATTGATTGTATACAGGTATATAAGCTTATATGACATGTAAATAACGGTATACCGAAACCAAAGTCACTTAGAATTGGGCATATAACATGCACAACCCAGAATTTTAAATTTTGACTTAGAGATATTTCTAATAAAATGGCACGCAAAAGAATTGCTGGATACCCATCCTATTTTTCTACTCACTTCCAATAGGTACATTTCTACACCTTCTAGAAGCAGCACCAATTTCTGTGCGTAATTATTGTTAGTTTGGCAGTGAATGTGACAGAATTCTTGCATGTTACTCCACCCGCATGTCACTCCACAAACAAGTGCTCTAGCCTCCGGGTTAAGGCGGCTCTGAGTATCCCGCTCCTTTTATTGAACTGTGTAGGCCTCCAGAGAATTGTGACCTTTCACAGGGGAGCAGCTGCTACTTTGTTCTTAGTTGTGCATCCCTTGACCAAGAAGCTAAGAACAGAATCCACCTGGCTTGATTCTCTGAGGACGCTAATACAGAAGTATAGATACTGATCTGGCGAAGCTGAGCTCTTTGCTGTTGTCTGATACAAGTGAGGAATGGATGCTTGACTCTTAGGTTCTCAGTAATTTATTTCAAAGAGAAAAAAACTGAAATAAGCAACAGTAAAAACTCTAGCATTATAACAAGGGCAGACAGTAGGACCTCCCCTAGTAGTAACATTTCCATTTTCTTCCACGTGAACTTTAGCGATTGTTAGGCATCTTGAATACAACTATAGCACTCTTGTAGCTGTGTTTTAGCTAGGCACACATACCTAGATCTCTAAGAAGAAAGAAGGCGTAATGGGGTCAGATGCTTAGAAGAGTATGTACCCTGAGCTCTAAATCAAGGAGCCCTGGTGGTGGAACAGTTACTCAGCTACTACCAAAAGGCAGGCGGTTCGAACCGACCCAGCTGGTCCACAAGAGAAAGACCTGGCAGTTTGCTTCCATAAAGATTACAGCATAGAAAATCCTATCGGGCAGTTCCAACGTGTTATATGGGGCCACTATGAGTCAGAATCAATGGCACCCAACAACAACAACAGCTCTTAATCAGTTGGTTCTTAACTGGGGGCAATTCTGCCCTCCAGGGGACATTTGGCAATGTTTGGAGAAAGTCAGGTTGTCAAAACCGGATATGATGCTACTGGCATCTAGTGGGTAGAGGCCAGAGATACTGCTGAATATCCTACAGTGCCTAGAATAGCCCCTACAGCAAAGAATGATCCAGCCCAAAATGTCAATCGTTTAAAAACCCTGCTCTAGATAATGAATTAATTTTAAATCAAATTAATGATATTGCTTTAAAAATATACCCATTTAGTTATATTTTGAAAAAGAATCATACTAAGCTAATTAATTATGCATGCTAAAATAAAGATGTAGAATCATTAACACACTATTCTCCTTGTTCATGATCCAGAAGTACTCTAAAGAATACTTACCCTTACCCCACGCACACCTATTTTTTCTGCATGAGAAGAAAAACAGAAAATTCTACCTCACTAGATAAATCAAGTATGCAAACTTTAGCAATATCTCTGGCCTCTACCCACATTAATCAGGTCTATATAACTTACAAATATCTGCTAATGAGATAATTATTGTTTGTTATTAAAATAAAAAATGAGCACATCACACTTACTTCTTACTTGAAGTGTCATAAAGAATGATTCTTTTATCCAGTCCTATGGTTACAAATAGCAATTCATTGACAGGAGAAAAACAGATCCCTGAAGCTGGAGCTTTATGTGTACTTTCAAAGTTATGGTATGGACTCTGACTGTTCACATCCCAAAGAGTTACTATCCCATTATCTGAAACACTGCCCAGTAGCGATTTCTTAAATAAGGAGTACTTCAAGTGTCGAACAGACTGTAAAAATAAAAGAATAAATTTCATGTAATTATAAGCATTCATATGGATGTTTTATCTAAACTATATAAATAACAGCCAACCACTAACCATACTATTCACACAGCGTTTAGAACACACTCTGGTTTACAGAGCAACAGGTTTCAATCATGACTACCATAATATCATTTTTAGTAGGCTGTAAGATGACCTTAAGACATATTGATATTCTATTAACTGAATACTCATCATGATTTTATTATTTTGGAGGACAGCTACCTCAATCTCCGCCCTTTTCGAGGAAAAATACAAAACATCAAGATTACCTACACTAATTCATTGGAGTTAGAATATCCATCGTAAATAAAAGGCCCAATCACAGACAAATCACTAATAAGTGTAAGGGAAGAGTAGGAGGGAATAAACAATAATATTTTGTATATTTGTTATCTATACATATTTTAGATACTGGAGTATATTTGTTTGAATCTGAGCATATGATATGCTGGAAATTTAACACTTGAAGGCTAATATGAAATTAATTAACCACAGAGGAGGAACTGGTATCAATGCAGACTAGGGGTACACTATATCCATTCTCTCAAAAGTGTTGCCTGAGGGCAATGCTGACCTTTCTCTAAACATTCATCCCTGGGGGCAGTGGAGACATTTCACTGTTTTAGTGTAAAAAAAAAACTCCAGTTTCTGCTGGATCAGAATAAACAAAAACCAACTTCAGTAAACAGTTCCTAGATAAAACTAGTGGAATTTAACTACTTTTACAAAAATGTTGCTTTCAAATTTATGTTATTATCATTTACGGTGCTGAGACTTAAGCATTTTACATTTAAGCTAATTTTCCCCCTTCAAATGAGTAGCAATATAAATATAGAAATTAATGTTAGGAAGAATCTGCAAGTGTGGGAACCTCAATGTAAGACACCTTCGAATAGTTAATTGATAGTCCTGTGTCAAGCAATGAATAAGGGTCTAGTAGGTGGGTATTAATTTTACACATAGGTCCCAGATAAAAATGTCAAAGAACAAAAGACATCTCTAAGGGTTTTTTGTTTGTTTGTTCTATCTAGTTTAATTTATCATACCCTAAAAAGATTTGAGCCCTAGCTTTTAGGTATTAAAAAATCATATCCTACTTATTTCTAAGGTCTTTCAAAATAATATATATTAGCCCCACAACAAAAAAATGTTTAGGAGTAACACAAAATAAATTCTGTCTAAGGAAGCAAAAGGAATATTTGTTATCAGGCACCTAAGTAAGGAGGAGTCCTGGTGGTACAACGCTAACCCAAAAGTTGGCAGTTCAAACCCACTAGCTGCTCCGCGAGGTAAAAGACCTGGCAATCTGCTCCCGTAATGATTTCAGCCTAGGAAACCCATGGGGCAATTCTATTCTGACTTATAGGGTTACTATGAGGTGGAATCAACTCGATGGCACACAACAACCACCAATATCTAAGTAAGGTAGGATAATTACAATGGCCATCCATTAACTTTGGCTCCTCATTTTCATATGGCTAAAGTAAAGAGAAAATGTTAGTTTACATAGTTTTCATTTTTGTTGAGAAAAAGTATATCCATTTGAATAGATAAATCTTCTGGTCTACATTCAAGAAAAAAAATAAACTACATGGATCTTGATTATATAAAAGACACAGAATTCCTTAGTGAATTATAATTAATGTTTAAGTTATAGTCACATACAAACCTATCAAAACATAAGGCAAAACTTTATGAGATTTCTATAGCACTTTAAGAGTTTACACAGTTATGGTTCTTTCATATGATCTAAATTTGTGTTAAATGCACAAACAACTTAAAAAAAAAAACCTAACATCATAAAATCACAGGCCTGGCGGATTTTCAAAGTCCATAAAGTTCGACCACTTAGCCACAGCAAGAATTTGTCTAAAACATCCTTAAAAAGTGGTTATCCAGATTTTGCTTGAATATAGCAGGGAACAAGGAACTTATACTACTTTATAAAATAGGACTTTATAAATAGTTAAAAATGTATCTCTTTATTAAGTCAAAACCTAACTTCCATACATTGCTTCAAATTCTTTGGATCTATATGGCAACCCAGTGTTAAAAAACAAATGCTAAAGATAACCATGAATATTCCTCTCTGATAAAACACGTTCAACTCTGTATGACTGGGGTAAATTAAATTCTCCAACTCTCAGTGTTCTCCACCTACAAAATAGAGAATATCGTTTGCTTGTCAAGATTATTTTGAGGATTAAACAGTATTTCTGCACAAGCCAGGAACACAGCAGCTGCTACCACTATTCTTACAGGTTTATAACTCTTCTAATCATCATTGGTTATGTACTCATTTGTCCATCTTTTATACTTATTTTTAAAAAAAACCTTAAGTAGCCACCTGACCTCTTTAAATGTCTTCCCTTTATCTCCTTGATGATATTAACAGAACTTCATTTCTGAACACTCTAAAACCAAAACCAAACTCGTTGCTGTCGGGCCGATTCCGACTCATAGTGACCTTATAGGACAGAGTAGAACTCCCCCATAGGGTTTCCAAGGAGCAGCTGGTAGATTCAAACTGCCAACCTTTTGGTTAGCAGATGAGCTCTTACGTCACCATCTCTTTAGAATATCGTAAAGAAATTCTCCAATGATCCTGGATAAATGAAGTATGAATCTACTAAATTATATTTAAAATAAGTATTAATTCATTTTGGTATCAGCAGCACATAACTTATTAAGTCTCTATTTTGTCCCAGATTCAAGCTATTTCTAAGGAAAAAAACATAGTCAAGAAGCTTATGAAAAAAAGACAAATCCCAGCACTATAAGCAATAATGCTCCATTTTTTTCTTACAACACATTATTATTGTGTAAGAATGTGTGTGTTTATGGAGGGGGTTGTTTCTAAGCATGAAACATATACATGCCCACTATAGATCAAGGTAGGATGGTGAAGACCAGATAACCTTTTATTCTGTTATACACAGGGTCGCTATGAGTTGGAACCAACTTGAGGGTACCTGATAGATCAGGGGCTGGCAAGTGTTTTATTAAAGGGCCAGACAGCAAGTATTTTAGGCTGCTATACTACAAAAACAGTTATAGACAATTCTTAAATAAGTACGGCTGTATTCTAAACTTTATTTCTAAAAGCAGGTGGAAGCCAGTGGGTCATAGTTTACAGTCGCTTGCTATAGATATTTAAGGGGAAAAAAATTACAAGGAAGAAAAAAAAAAATCACCATAATCTTCCTACTTAGAGAAATACTCGTTACTATTCTGGGGGATAACCTTTAGGTATTTTTATGTGTGTATTCATACGGTATCAACTGAAAACCTGAGGTCATACTTTATTATAACAAACAATCATGTCATTAATATTTTCTACTACACGATTTTAATAGCTGGATAATATATGAATGCATGAGAATATCAATTTATCTAAATAACCTCCTAAACGCCAGAAATTTAGGGTATTTCCCATTTCCAACTGCCCCGATTACGATCATTTTAAAAAATTACTAATAATGAAAGAATTTCCATTTCACTGTTGTTTGTGCTTTAAAGGTTCATGGTTGAGAAATACTAAGTGGCTATTCATCTTCCTTCCTTTGTGAATTGCCCATTAATTTACTCTGCCTATTTTCTATTGGGCTATTGCAATCTTTTATTTCTAATTTGCAACTGCCCTTCATATAACAGGGACATTAATGCTCTCATAGATTATAAATATTTTTCCCATTTCCCTTTTCATTTATGATTATTTTAAGTCTCGTTTTTTGTCAGTTTTTAATTTTTATGTACTTTACTTGGATCCACAAACAACGCCCATGGAAACAGCCGTCAAGAAATCAAACGACTTATTGCATTGGACAAATCTGCAACAGACCTCTATAAAGTGTTAAAAAGCAAAGACGTCACTTTGAGGACTAAGGTGCACCTAACCTAAGCCATTGCATTTTCAATACTTCATATGCATGTGAAAGCTGGACAATTAATAAGGAAGACTGAAGAACTGACTGATGCATTTGAATTATAGTGTTGGCGAAGAATACTGAATATACTACGACTACAGACTGCCAGAAGAACGAACAAATCTGTCTTGGAAGAAGCAGAGCCAGAATGCTCCTTAGAAGCAAGGATGGTGAGACTTCGTCTCACTTACTTTGAACATGTTATCAGGGGGGACCAATCCCTGGAGAAGGCATCATGCTTGGTAAACGGTCAGCGAAAAAAGAGGAAAACCCTCAGCAAGATGGACTGATACAGTCGCTGCAACAATGGGCTCAAACAAAGCAACAATTGTGAGGATGGCGCAGGACTGGGCAGTGTTTTGTTCTGTTGGACACAGGGTCACTTTGAGTCAGAACCAACTCTATGGCACCTAACAACAACTTTGTCAAACTTGTCCTCAATGACTTATGCCTTTGTTCTTATGTTTAGAAAAGCTTTTCCTTCCCAGAGATAAGATGAATGTACATTCATATTCTCCTATAGTCTTGTAATGTCCCTTAGGATATACCACAGAATATATCTAATATCCCTTTGACTCCATCTCCTCCCTCCTTATGATTTCTAGTATCTTATTCCAAGCATTAATCATCTCTCACTGAACTACTGTCTAATTATCCTCTCCACTGGGAGAAGATTCCTGGAAGCTTGTGCCTGGTTTCCTCCAAACTTCACCCCATGTTCCTTTTCCCTTTGCCGATTTTGCTTTGTATTTTTTCACTGTAATAAATCGCAGCTATGGGTATGACTATATGCTGAGTCCTGTGAGTCCTCCTAGTGAGTCATCAAACCTGGTCTGGGGATCCCCCACATGGTATGTATGTGTGTGTTTACAGATAGTAAGCTAGATAAGCAAAACCAAAATTCCATGGCCAATATTTACAACAAAACTAGATGATGAGGTACCCCCATGAGCCCCAAAACAGACAGGAGTAGAACACACAATAACAAGTACAAATCCATCATGGCATTAGTGCCCTTGTAAAAGGAAGCAGAAGGAA